TATAATCTTTAGTTTAGCTTTAATCTAAATAAGGAGGAGAGTAGAAGGAGAAAAAAAATTAGGTGAAGTCAATTTCGGGAGGTTAACGCCAGCCTGACATTAAGAAATCTTAGACAGATGACGTTTTAACTTTTATTTGAAATAATAATTGAAGGATTAGTTTTATTAAATTTCAAAATGATGACGTCAACAAAATCCCTGCGGGAAATAGTGAGCGGCACTCGATAGTCGTAATTGATGAGTGACAGTGGAACAAAGACACGGACGCTCTTGAAATCTTTTCATTCCGTTCATTTCTCCTGCAATATAGTTCACGTCGAGTTGTATGAAACTTTGGTTTATGTTACTATCAAAGCTCATATCTTCTAACAGAATATGGATTTCTATAATTTGCTTTTTAAATAGCAAGAATCATGTATTTTAAAGAAAAATCCATAAGAGAAGACAATAAATGTTATTTTTAACAATAAATAAGATCTGTTGGCAACCCACGAAATCATGAGGAGAGACATACGAGGAGAGAGTTCAAAAAAATTTCATATGCTTGTTTGGATTTCAAAGAAACTAGTTTTATTTTTACTATTTCACCGCACAATATGTGACTACAGGAAATTTTAGATAGAGATACAACTATTCTGGACCTAAAAAGTAGAGAAAGCCTTTAGTAAAAAAGCATTTAGTAGAAAAGCAGTTTCTCACTCTCTGACTTATAATACGAGAATCGAATACAGCCTGTATCTAATCTCGATTAGCATGCCTGCTATTCTAGATTAAGTATTTAAACATTGGATAAACATATGGGGAAAAAAGAATCTATAGGAAACATACACCCTTTGGCGAGCTGCTTTTAACGAGCTATCGTTTTGAAGAGCGCAAGAGATTCACAAAGCAAACGTATAACATTTTCTTCTTCTCTGACCCACAACTCCAACAGTTATCGTTGAATGCAACTTCTATGCGATGCCTACTTATTCGAATAAAAATCTATTTGAATTAAGGTCTGGATATATTAAACCAAAAATTGTGGAAGAGAGAATCTATAGTTTAAAAGCAACTCTTAAGGAATTGGTACATATATTATTGTATTAGAAAAATATGTTTAATGTTCTGATACTTCCAATAACTAAATTAATATTGTAGACCCTCTCTGCACTGACTTTTGTAACATGATTACTATCCATGTTAAATTGCAATATTAAACGAGTTACTTATATCGGGTGTTTTGTTAGCTGCATGAGAGTTTATATAATATGTTAGCTAATTTCATGGCATTTATTTTATGTTTATGATATCCAGCATATGTCCGTCATAGTTAAAAGTTATATGATACATGCGATCAGTCCAATTTTAGACAATTTTTTAGCAATAAATGTGTCCATATGGCGTCAATGATGGCTTGAATATAGGCTTTCAATGCTTTAAGAGTTTCTGGTATGTTGGCATAAACCAATAACTTAACCTCATAAAAAGTAATCAGTTATCAAGAAATGAGCTTCATCCCTAAACACAATTTTTTCATAAAAATGCTCACCTTTGACCAGTTTCAAATGAGCTCACTCATCACAGGCACGGCATGAGCAAAATTGTTGTTGTTTTCATTGTAAATTATAAAATTGAGAGTGAGAGGATAAACAATATGTCGGCATGAGAACCGAGGTTATCTGTCATCATTTAGGCAAAGCAGTGTTGTTCAGTAATAAATGTCAGAATTTGCGGCTTTTATGAAAGAAAAAATGCCAGGAAGCAACACAATCTATTTTTATACCCATTTATCTAAGTTAAGATGTATTTTTTGGGTATATTGGATTAATATTTGTGGGAATGCTTTATAAATACATGTAGCGAATCAAATCACACTTTTTCTGTTAAGTAAAATAAAACAGCTGTTAATTTCAGGGTAATCCTACTACTTTCGCAAAATATCTAGTGTTATAATTAAATCTCGAGTGTTATACATTTCGCTCGACAATTACCAATCGAAAATACAAATTGCACTAAAAGTAAATCATGATTGAAAAATGTATCCCAAATTTACCAATCGAAAACAACATAGTAATATATTTCCACTGGCTTCGTTAGACCAGTTAACTTATTTGAGATTGCTTGAATCTCAAGTAAGGTAACTGGTCTATTAACATAATAGTATGTTTCCACTGACTTCGTTAGACCAGTTAACTTACTTGAGATTGCTTGATTTACTTGAATCTTAAGTAAGTTAGCTGGTCTAAAGAATCCAGTAGGAAAGTATTATCAGATAAAGTCCTTATTAAAATGGTATGCCTACTAATAGCTATTAGCATATTTCCTGGTGGCCACAATGTGTGGTTTGACTTATCTAAGATCTTTGACATTGGTTCATTGCTTCGCAAATGGTAGGACGCTAAGTATTGATAGAATTGGACAAGTGCGTCTAGTAAATACTAAGATTCTATGAGTTTAAAGCTTATTTAAAATAATTTATAAAACCATCAATTCTGCCGTCAAACTAAACAATTAATTACCGATGATCTATGGAGAAATTTATCAGTGAGTTATCTACAATAAATATTAATTTTAAAATTTCTAAAAGAGAAGTAAAAAAAAAAACTACGAAGAATCCTGCAAACCAAAAATTCCATTTCAAACACGTAAACACAACGAATTAGAGAATAAAGGAGAACACACAAAAAGCAACTTCTAATTGGAAGGTTTTAGGGCGTTTCGCCGGCAACAAAGAAATTTCGACTTCTGACAGGCTTAGGCCGCGAATGAAACAAAATTTATGCAAAAAATAAACAAAAAATGGTGCAAAACAAATCGCAATTACTGCAGATAAATAAATCAAAAAAAAAAAAAACAAGGCAAACATCAGAATACACATGATCTAAAAGCAATCGAGGAATTATTGCATCTTAAAATTTATTTATAAAAATTTAGAATTGTAGAAATCCAATTCGCAGCAGCCGCATTGGGTGCACTTATGCAGTCCCTACACCCCTTGCAGCCAGCAGCAGCACTAGCAACTTAATTGTGCACAGCTAACAAAATACACATTGAGAAGCACGTCCGGGTGCTCCACTTTTTATATATTTAAATATTTTTAATTTTACACTAGCAAATAGTTAACACAGTATATAAAATTTCAATAAAAAAATGGCAATATTTACCTTAAATGCAACAACAGTACCAGCACGTAATTTATATAAAACAAAAAATTGTTAATAACAAACTATGGGAGTTATTTTTATTGTTTAATTATTGCAGCATTTGGTGCAGTGATTTTAAGAAATTTTTACACTTATCAGTTATTAAACACTAAATTTTAAGTTTCGCAAACACTTTTAATTGTATTTCAACGTTTTTTTGTATAAATTTTCCGTTTAAAAACACAGACGTAGATTTTTTACTTCATCAGATTTTTTACATTTTTGCCTGACATTTTCTATGGAGCATTTGACAGCTATTTTTTTTGTTTTTTATTTTGTCTTTCATTCATTCTTTATTTCTTTTCATTTCGTGAATTTAGTCACTTAGCCACCAAGCGGTCGATAGTTAAAGAAATATAAATAGAACCTGTTTTGTTAAGAATGTGCGTAAAAAGTACGGTTTGAATATTGCAGTGATTATTAAACTGTTTAGGTGGAGGAATGAAAATAAACAAAACATCAGACATTTATAACAAAAACACAAGCAATTCAAAAAGTAAATCTTTTTTTTAAACTTATCTCCCGCATAATTTGCTTGGGAAGGATTTTGTACAAAATAGAGAAAAACTCCCATTCCCATATGATTCAGAATAGTGGTGATTAAAGCAAATAATAGAAAGAAAAGGTAATCTTAGGGAATTCCAATTCTAAAATTATTAAATTTCAAAAATTCTGAGATATACATATACTTAAGTTTTCATCGCATAAATCAGCTGTTCGCGTAAACTAGTTGACATTGTAATGTAAATGAAATAAATTTCGAAAGGAAGTAAAAAAAAATAATTTATTAAAGCAGTTGATTAAATTTAATTAATAAAATAAACAAAATTATACACCTAAATCTTACATTTTTTGTAAATATTACCAAGAAATCAGCATAATCACTATTTATCAAAGCGGAGTTGTTTAAGTTTAGATTGCCTCAAAATGTTTTTTTATTGAGCTCACAGTCATCTGTTTTGTTGAAAATATTATGACCAGAGTTGCAAATTTACCTTGAAAGTGTTTAACAGCTGTGAACAGCGTACTTTTGTTTGTGCAGAGACAATTCAAAATCCCAATTGCCCATAGTAGTACCTATTGGCGATAGAGATTTTTCCTCTGCTCTTCAGACTGATATCACTGTTGTTCTTTACTGTGGTGCCAAGGTAGATTAAATTCATAACAGATTCGATAGTACAGTCGCCAGTTCGACGTTCGAGTGACGCACATTTTTACCACTAGTCGACATATGCTTCATTTTGTCCTTATTCTCCGCATAATTTTGCCATCATGTACATAAAAATATTACTTATTATATTGTAAATATAATCGCAATTTATTCTCGATCTGTTAAAATGTTGTTGCCCAACCGAACATATTTAGAGTTTATTAGTAATGTTATTAAATATTTACATTAATCACAAATTCATATGTAGAATCATATCACAGTTTAACTGTCAAATCATATAGAACAGCTATTCATTTGAGGCAATCATGCCTCTCTAACAAAATATCTAGAGCGTTATAAATTAATCTCGAGTGTTATAAATTTTGCCCCAATCAAAAATGAAAATTCCACTAAAAGTGCATTAAAATAGCATTTCAATAGAATAATTACTTATTTTTATATATGATTAGAAATATTCATATAAAACTGATTTTAGATTAAACTGAACATATATTTTATTACGTGTTAAGTTGGCTGCGATTGCGATTTCCAACTGTCAACTCTGGCGTGTTTTTTCGTTAAATTCTATACTTCATTTTGCCGCTACTGTCAAACAGTTTTCTCGCTCACACGCCGTAAAAAAATAGACGCCGAACTCGTTAAGGATTTTTCTTGCTGTTCATTTTTTGTGCAATAAATTAAAAATCTATCAGTGAAATAGTGAACAAATAAATTATATTAAAATGGCTGATATACCTTCAGATGAATTGAGGGCAGAAGTTAGTGAAATACTTAAGACCGCTGATTTGTCTGTAATGTCCACAAAAAAAATTCGTGAGCAGGTTGAAAAAAAGTTGAGCTGCTCTTTGGTGAGCCGCAAGAAAGAATTTGATAGTAAGTTTCCGAAATTTTTTGTTTTCAACAATGAATTTTATGTTATATTGTGGTGTAATATATTTTCATTAAAAAAATATTAATTCGTATTAGATATTGTCTTGGATTTAATCAATCAGCAACAAGCTGAAGAAGACGGTTCTGAAGGCGAAGAAGATGATGCCAACAATAGCGTATCCGAGGAGAATAACAGTGAAGAAGATAAAAAGAAAGCCAAGAAACGTCCAAAACCAACACCACGCAAAACTCCTGGTAAGAAGAAGAAATCATTGAATCGTGATGATTCTGGCAGTGAATCAGATGGTGGCTCGGATTCTGATTTTGAGGTGCCAAAAAAAGTTGCACCGAAGAAGAAGAAAGGTGCTGCTGGTGGAGCCACTGGTACTGGACGCAAATCTACTGGTTTTACACGCGCTTACAATCTCTCACCGGAATTATCATCTTTAATGGGTGCTGAATCTCTACCACGTCACGAGGTAGTCAAAAAGGTTTGGGCTCTTATCAAGGAGCGTAACTTGTTTGATCCTAAAAACAAGCAATACGCTATATGTGACGATGAGTTAATGAAAGTTATGAAAGTAAAACGTTTCCGCACCTTTGGTATGTTAAAGCATTTAAAGCCGCATTTCCTTGACTAAATTCTAGACGTTGGCCATACAACTAAAATAAATATAACTAATGAAAACAAAATATAACGAATAATTTTAAAAAAACTATATATGTATGTAAAAAAAATCTGATAACATTTGACTTGAATTTTCTTTATCATAATGCAGCATGCGAAATGAAATAAAAAGCATAAAATTAAGATTTGTAGAAGACTTGCGCCTTTCCTGGTGTATTTCTTAGAATGTAATTACTTATTTTGTACTGTATGTCCTCTGTTTATACCTGCAATCAAGTATGACGTATTTATTGTATTAATTTTAAATATAAAACTATTATGTATGATGTGCAGTTCAGTATGGACAGAGGATGAATTATTTGTATATGAATGAACGGTAATTTGAATTATTCAATAAAAAGATAACGACTGCTGTTAAAAAGTATGTTTTCATATGGATATTATTTACTTTATATTTTTATTTTCATGCCCATGCTTTCTGGCTTAGATGAACTTAGACCCCATTAATTACTGGAATGTAATTTCCACATTGCAGTGGAAATCTCCAGTCACTCCTAAGAGGTGGTTTGGGTGACTTAAAGTCTCACAATGTGGATGTTGCTGCTTTCCACTTACTGCGAAAAAAAAAAGCATTTTTATTTAATTATTTGTTGGTGCACAAAAATAATATTAATCCAATAACAATTTTTTCAAGAATCAAAAAAATGTATTAACTTCAACTACGACATATTCTTTGTCAAACATACGTGCTGTGAGAGATGCTTTTTCTCAGTAGTATACAGCTTAGGTTGCTGGTTGGTAACCTGGCAAGTCATCTGAATTATCATTTGAACAAAATGAATCTGCTTGAAGTGACTATATCATCTCTGCATTAGAAATTGTAAGACTTCTAGTCACTTTTTAAATAACTATTCAGTTTTAAACTGAGTAGCAATTTCAAATGAATGTTTTATCAAGATATTCGTACCGATCTTTACAAAATACATTAAATATTGAATGCTCCGTAGTACTTGCTTAGGTTATGCTTCCAAAAAGAATTCAATAAGTAAAAAATTAATATCAAAAGTCAAGAGTTCGTATCTCTGTTTAATATAAGGAACTAGATAATGGAGTAGAGACATTCTTATCTTATTCCGAAAAGCTAAATGTCTTTTCTTCGCTTAGAGAAAATTATTAGTATAAAATATCTAATATAGTCGTAGTGATTTTTTCCACTCTGATATTTTCTATTGTATTAAATCTACTGATATTGTTTGTGTAATTATTAACTGAATAATATTATTGAAACTATTATAACAGTAATACTATGTTGAGGCTAGTTGAGTTGAGTCAGTGCACCTGAGCACTTTCACTCTCTATTAACTGCGAGGTTTCTACAAAACCACTCTTTGTGCCTTGACTGGATTATTGTTTCAGATCTGCATATCTCCCCGAGGAGCCTGTAACCATTCTGAGATTTGATAACGCGGTGTTAGTAAGTCTGTCAGATTTCGCAAATAATTTCAGGGCTCTATCCTTTATGTATTTTTTGATGGGATCAATCTTGACGTCCCTGAGGATGTCATTCGTCCTAATGTACCAAGGAACTTTGAAAAGTCTTCTCAGAGCCTGGCTTTGTGTATTTTTTTTTTAAATTGTAAATGTATTTTGTATCATCATCTATTTTTCAAAAATCAACAATTTCTTTTCTAGGTTTTAAATGACAAAGTATATCCAATCTCTTTGATTTTATAATATAGGTATTATGTCTAAAATCTTAAACAACTAGTTAATATATACTTTCAAATAATGGGTGCTAACATGTCACTACATACTAATTCTATCAGTCTGGCTCAACTCCATTGACTTTTGTAGGGATTTTATTTGTTGGGACGAGGAGTCAATTATACTCCACGTAATGCGTCTGTATTCAGCATTGGATAAATGTATTTTGTATATAAAAGCCCTTTTCTTATCGATCTAATAGAGCTTCCAACCTGAAATATTAGGGATTTGGCCATGTTTATAGATTTGTCAGGTTTATTCGCGTACACTTGAATGGGAGAATCATGCATTTCAGGGTTTTTTGTACAATAACTACAGCGATTCTTTTGTGAATCCTAGTATGTTAGTTTGATTGAAATCAATCGTTTTAATTATGCATAATAGTCAAAAAAAGGATGTATTATATATAAAGAATATTGTATTCAAATCAATTGGAAGAAGTTGTATGCTCAAAATCTAATGTAGGGTTTCTCAACTGCCGGTCCGTCGACTATTGCCAGAACCAGTAAGTAAAATATTTTATTTTTAACTTTAAGCGATATTGGTTTCTAAACGTACATCCACACCAAAGCGAACGCTTGCGAACGTACGTACTTTTTCAGTTATCATTACCTGGAATTGCTCCTTCGCTCGCAAGTGTTCACTTTGGTGTGGATGTGGCTTAATGATACCAGATAGAGATAAAGTACTATGTAGATTTTTGTAGTAGTTAATTTTATGAATTTAAGAACTGATAGAGGGTTTATTTAAAGAAGACCTTATTGAGACTTAAACCCAGACCCTACATGCCGTGGCTTAAATACCTATGCACCGTGCTATCAAGGCAATATAATAAAAGACATTGAATTGTGAAAAAAACAAATACTTTTTATTACATTAGAGTTTCTAGTAAAATTTGTTGTTAGATTAGGTTAGAATGGACTAAACATTTTTTTGATCCCTAACCCCACTTGAGCTAACATACTGGCCTGTTGTGATAATATTAATAGTAGCTTTAATTATTTTTATTATAATTAGATAAAATGAATAGATTTTTTTACTATTTATTTACTAATAACTTACCCAACAAAGATAGAGAAGACGCAATATTATATAATGACTCTTGGTCGTCTTAAAAAAGAGGGGTGTCATATTTCATAAACGGCAACTGTTTTTTATTACACGGCTGGTTAGTTGTATCAGTAGCAAGGTGCGACATTTCAACGACTAAAACTGTAGGTGAAGTTTTACTACGCGTATACAAAATATTTCCCAAGTACTAGAACATCAACTCGGTTAGCTTGGTTTGTTCTATATCCAATCGGAACCGAAATAATCTCTGACTTCAATCCATTGAAAGCTTAATATTTTTGATTTTTTAACATGGACTAGATTTAAATTTCCTACAATAAATCTAACTTCCTCTTTGTTCCTGGAATGAGTGTATCTATTTGGTATAGTTAATTTCAGTGAACAGAAGAACAGTGACAGTGACAATAACCAAATCCATTATAAAAAGCTGTTCATTCATTATTTTTAACATGTAATTTGTTGTTGTTCAGTGGCCTTTCTTAAGGAAAGGCCATATAGCAATATTAGCCAGCATAATCTGTATCCGCGTCTTATAGATATGTTCTGGTTTCCAAATTTATATACGTACCGTATTTAAATTTCGTCTATAATATTTAACTTTCTGTTTTATCTATAAATAACCAGAGGTATAAGATTCACTTACCTTTTGTTTTCCATCTTGATTCTATTCTGATTCACATATATCTTTGTGATTCTCTTAAAAATATAGTCAAACTTCCATAACACGAAGCCCAATTTGACAAAGAAAAGGTTCGACTTATGGATCCACTAATTTAGAGCTATAGTGCTCAAAAATGTTGTCATCTGTAGGAAAGCTTGATGTAGAAATTTCATTGTCAAGCTCAATATAATCATTAAGAGTAGCATTGGAAGTTATTTTATTTACTTTAAACCACGCTGCCATCGACTGGCATTTGTACAAAGAAGCAACATAAGAAGGAAAAAATTAAACATTTGGTTTGGAAAAAGGGACTTCCCCTAATAGCAAAATGCATTTATATTTAAAACAACTTATAGAATCCACTTTCCCATATTCCTATCGGCACGGAACAAAATTTTTGTTCGAGTTATAGAGAAATTCGAATTATAGAAGTTCGAGTTCTAGAAACAGAATTGTATGTAATTTGCTCTGTAAAACCTTGGTGCACTGTTTTTGGTTCGAGTTATAGAAAATTGGAGTTATAGAAGTTCGAGTTATGGAAGATTGACTGTATTCCTATTTTTTGTATTTTTATTTATTGTAGCACAATAAATCTCCCTCTCTCCCCTCTGTTAGGAGACGGTACCCTGTTGATTTATTTCTATTCTATCTTTATTTATTATTTTAATCATATTCATTACAATCAATTATGAACATCCGAAATTGCAAAACCAAGACAATTGCTGTGTAGTTTTAGAAACATTGTGAAAAAAGTTATGGTCCACATCGGGTTTTATTTGCTAAGTTCCAACCATTTACTACTACTCTACATGACTTTCGGACTATTCAAGGTATTACAATAGCAACAAATACTCCATTAATATTCAGTTAAGTTTCTTAAGTTAACTTTTTTGCTTTATAATGGTTTTTATATATTTTTTGTCTGGCTATAGGCCACTTTTTATCAAATAATTCAACGTTTGTTTAATATTTTTAATACATTCTATAATTCGACTCTCCTTGAGAGTCATCATCAGGGTCACGATCTAACATAAATTAATACTACTAAAACTATATCTACGTTATCCTCTTTATTCTACTGTCTATATTTTGCTTTATAGAAAAAGAAATAGTCTAAATTATTTTGTTTTCTTAAATAACTAATTATGTCAATATTTTTCGGAACCCCAATAACTGAAGCTTGTAAAAAACCTCTTAATAAACTCATTAGCATAATAAACACCATTTCTTTGTGAGGGCAAGAGCAGTTTAAATTTTATACTAATATTGCAACTAATATTAAATAGTGTAATAAACATTTATATACTAATATTTAAAATAAATATCATATACTCCCAATATATAATTATAAAAAGTAACGTTAGTCTATCTGAAATGTTTAGGTAGGTCGTCAAAAATTAACACATTAATCACGTTTTGATTGATAATTGACTTAAAAGATTATCATCATATTATTATATATGAAAATGAGGAGAAAGGTCGATGATTGCAAGTTCAATAAACCTTTCAAACAAAGTGAATTATTTATGTTTTTATTAATTTTTATTTTAATATATAATATATAATATATATATATATATATATATATGTATATATATATGTATAATATTTTTACAAACATTTTTATACATTACATTTTCAGCATTATTATTTTTTATTGATAGCTGTGTGTACGCAGTATGAAAATAAAAATCAATATATAAGAGAATATATCATATATCTGTATATATAAATAAATATATATGTAAGTACATAAATTAAAAATGGAATATATAATTCTTTAAGTGTAATTTTTCTAAATCAAAAATTAAATGCAAAACATATAGTAAAGAACCGATTAAGTACGTAGTTACAGTTTTAGTTATTGAAAGATATTATATATAC